CTGTAATGGCTCCCTACCAACTGTGAAAATCCTCAACAGTTGTGACATTTCGCCAGCCTACCCGGTGGACTTCATCGGATGTTTGTCAAAAACTCACAACTCGCGCTTTGGAGGGAAAGCCAGAGACCTCTAGTAAGGCACAACGCTCCCCTTTAGCCTAGCAATTACCGCTCTACAGTATAATACCAAGTACTTGAGTAAAACCTACATGCCTAAGAAAGTTTTTTTCAAGTCATTTAAGTTCTGTATAATTGCATTACTGGCTCTATCCATATAGGAAACGCCTCTTGAGCAGGATCTACGAAGGAGGAAATGGCCCGCGAAATTTGGCCTTTCGGACTTAATTTTTAGAGCGGTCCCTTACGTAAGATCGAAGCGAAAACTTAGTTTTACAGACAACGTCAGTTATAGTGGAGGTGTTTCGTCTCCAGCCTTTTGAAATCTGATTGGCTATGCTTTGAGAATCAAGCCATTAAGATTCCTTTATATAGTATGATGCCCCGTTTTTTCTATTACCGGTCGTATGGCTTTTATAAAACAGCTCGAATACCGCTAGCTACCCGCGGGCAAAGACGGTAGTAGCGTATCGTTTTATGCCTCCGTTCGCATACTTAGCTAGTGAATTGTGGCTGGGCCGGGGCTTCGGTCCCGCAAAGTGACGGAACGCCACACAGCACGTTGCGCTTGAGTCCGAGAGTTTACAAACTCTTAATGACGGCTTGTCGAAGGGAGCAAAGTAACCAGCTAAAGATAAGGTTGAGGCTGAGTATATTTATAGATAGGCCTAACTTGATTTTCAAAACAAAAATAAAAGTCACAAGTAGTGAAGCTACGTAGTTTTCCAACGGTTGATCTATAGAGAACCTGGTACCATGTACCAGTCATTACGAGCCTTCGCACGCGCTCTTCTTCTCGATCTTCACTTCAGCATTACGACGACGCTAGCGTGTATTCGCGAGCTAGTGATAGCAGTGATCATGGTCACAAGACGCCTGGGCGATCTGAGAGCCCGCTGACGAGGCTAAGGACTCGCCCAAAGATGGAGATGATGAGAAAGGGAGGCATTTCTTTAGAACCTATCGCTATCTGAGGGTCTTGAGCGTGATCACACTGCTAAAGCAGCAGTTAAAGAGGCTACGCACTCAAGGAAGAGCATGGAGTCGAGGCGTTCACTCCGCGAGGAGAAGAAGTCTGGTGATCCATATCACGTTCGTTTTGGCGCCGAGGGGGTACTTTTGATGAGCCCCGGGAGATCATGAGCGACCTCAACCGGCAGCAGGAGGACTTCCACGCTGCCCAGCGTATGCGTGGGGGCTCGGTGCTGTGGGTAACGATGTTGTTTCGTTTTTAACTCTCACGTTTGGTTTCACGCTCTCTCGTAGCAAGGCTCTCTTTCGCGGGTGCTAACTTATCCGTGATTCTATATTTTTCGTGGGTTTCACACGTTTCGGCTCATAATTCTTACCGTGGCGTCTCACCAGCGGTACTCTCGTCGATGGATGCCCTTCCGTGGTTCCGGTTTCCACGTATTTGTCTGGTCCATCCGCCCGTGCTTCGAGGTCTCATCGTGTGGCGCCGTCCCTATCGTGGTCTCATAGCGTATGTAACAGGCCAGGTATTTACTCCGTTAATTGCTTACACTGTAGTGTTGAGGAAGCTCGCTATAGGACGACTGAGTCTTAGGTTTAAGAAAAAATCAACTCTGACTTTATTTTAGGACCAAGGTCACAAACCTGGCCACTCAAATACACGTCATAGTCCAATTGGCTAATAATTAGTCTGGATCCCCAAATATTAGCCAATGGCATGACAAAATTTCAACACTCAAGTCGTGTGCCGATGCACCTACTAATGTAAAGAAATCTACCTACTTTTGTAATGGAGGGGCCAATTACATTACCCCCTCGTAAGGTTGCACTTACGCAACAAAAGCAGCGGGCGAAGAAAAAAATCAATCTACGTGAGAATGGCGAACGGGGTCTTGGCTAACGGGCAGAGCGAAACGGGGACAGAGACATCTCCTGCAAAGTGCAGGAGCGCCACAACTCAACTGGCGGAGAACTTGACAAGCAACACGATGGATCAGCAGTGGACGGGAACGCCGACGACGGCGACGTCGTCGACAGCAAGAGCGAAGCGGCACGCGCGTGATAAACGACCAGCTCCGAGCGCGGGCTCCGGACACACTGGACACGATGAAAGATCACTTCCGTCGCTTTCGCGGGCTGCGGCAGAAGCCTGGCAAGGGGTCGCATATGTCGCGTTGCAGGAGTCGTGATGCGCTTTCATCCGACGCTGGAACCGGACGCAAGAAGATGGGGAAAACTTTGTCTGTCGGCTGGTATACCGCGAGGAGATCGTCAAGGACCACTTGCTCACGGAACTTCGTGAGCGCGTCTGCACCAGCGCATGGGAGGACATGCGACGCATCTGCTACGAGAGGGTCGCTGAAGGTTGTCGCTAGCTGGGCACCGAAGTGTGTCGTCCCATGGACCTTAAAGCCACCCTGGGGTGACTCCTGGCTCTTACTTCGTCCTAAGTACGCCGACGGTGCTCACAGTATGTGAAATGCGTGTTCGGATAGTCGTCTTGAGGCGCAAAAGGCGACCGACTGCGGCGTGTGCTTGTGCGCTTGCTCGCAGCTGCATCGACAGATATATCAATCGCCTCGGAGGCCACCATGGTAGCCTCCTTGAGTGCAGACCGTTAGCCGCGAGGCTTAGAGCTCTTGGCTTGCGCCTTTACGGCAGTAGCCTTGGCGTGTGCTTTTGCACCGCTTTTCACAGTACCACGGGGCATGCTAGTACTTGTACCGTGCCGCGTTCAATTGTCAAGAAGTGGTGAAGTCACATCGCCGAAAATCCGCTCGGTGAACCAGATCACGGGTGGATCGAGAAGTATCGCCGCTCGCTGACCGAGAACGTGCGCGCCTCTTGTCGCGCCGGCTCGCGCCGACGCTCTTCACGCGAAAATTCTTGGCATCGGACTTGGTCTCGTTCGGGCGGCGGCTCAAGCCATCGATCTCGTTCGCGTGGTCGTTCAAGTCGTCGGTCTTGATCATGTTCGCGTGGTCGCTCAAATCTAAGATCTCGGTCTCGCTCACGTGGTCGACCAAGTCATCGGCCTCGATCACGATCACGTGGTCATTCGAGCCGTTCTCCTCGTTCGAGCTGACATGCGTCACATGATGGTTCGCAGCGAGCTTGGACTCTTCCCAACGTTGCATTTAACAGGTTGAAAAATTGAGACGGTGCAATCAGTAAAATCATTAAACAAATTCGATTCCCCAATCGCATTCTTCAAACCGACAAAGTCTAACAACTGGAAGACTCGCTCGAGGGTAAGATCGACCAGATTTGACCAATTTTGGATAAATGGCGCAACAAATGTGAGATGATACAGAACTTGATGTCATAAATTTTGCAGAGTACAATACATACATACCGTCGCAAAGCGAAAAAGTGTTCAATGTAGCACCGATAAGCAGTATTTCCTCTATAAGTTTATACTTTTTTCTCTTTTTGACTGAACTCCTCGCGTCATTTTCAATCCGATTAGATGGTCTCCGCACGTGAGTGAAATCGTTTTTGATTCGCTAAAAGTGTTTCACAACAAATGATTTTCATCCATTTTGGATAATCCGAGATTCACTATTAATAAATCGGATCCGATTTGCTGGACGCCTCCGAAATAGAAAGTAGCATGGTAAGATTGTTGTCCCGGGCCGGATATGCACTTCGAATTAAAGAGAATTGCCGTCTTTGGACGGCATAAGCGATCTGCCCAAAACCATTTGCTAGGACACTTCCAATCTTTAATTAAGCGTAGTCTAACCGCCATAGGTGATCATAGCATCATTTTACTCGGCAATCGCGCCACAGTATGCATACGTTTAGTGTTTATCTCTTCCTCAATTAGTTAAACTGAGTTGTCGAAGGTAAGGTCGTCTGGGAATGACGCCGCATTATTAAAACCTCATGTCGGGTCACATATAGCTAATTCGAGCCTAATTATCCACAATACGAGGTAGGTAATTTGATAAAAGCTCACCCATTTAAGTTTATAAGTTTCTTAGAGTAGTATATTAAGGCAGATCACTGTAAACACTATTTTTCTTAAAATAAAACCGTACCTTAAGTAGCGGGCTTTTCGCTGCGTTGTTGCCGATTCACGCGATTTGAGCACACATCGCACGTTGTATCACGAGTCGGACTCTGACCGTGCTTGTGAAATACCAATTGAAAGACGTGATTTACCTAAAAATAGCTATTTCAATAAATCTGCCATATTTTAGCAGCTCCATCGAAAAAGCTGCTTCATGGAAAACTCAGTTGCAGTGCTGAGCCTGACTCCGTGCCTTAGTGTACAAAAACAAAGTTGCAGCACGAATAGCGCTGCTGCGAGTCGCACCAGTGTTGCACGTATTAAAGTCTTTAATAATAATAATACAATTACCGGTGCGTACAAGTACATGTCTTTTGTACTCCACTCATCAACGGCGGACCACCGGACTCAACGTCACGAAGCCTTCCCAATGACCGCCTGGTTCAACTCCTGACTGTCTACGCCGGGTAGTACGCTCGTCACGACGGAACACAAATGGGGATACGGTCCTTACAAGAACATGTTCACGAAGATTTTGAAAACATGAAGTAAGAAAAGACCAAGCGCAGCGTGCACCGTCACAGTGTCACTGTGTCTTAATACAAAACGCAGGGAAGCTGTAGCAGACGCGAGCGGTGTACGTGTAGACGAAAACCTACAGCACTCTTATGCATCACTCCCGTATGTTGTGTAGAGACCCCGATATGGCCGGTTGTTGGATGGAGACCACAGCTTCATGTCGTCCCTTCAACGGATCGATGCCAACGTGTCCCCAATCTGTCATGCGCTCGTGGCGCAAGCCTCGTGCTGCGAAATATCCACAGTCTCGCCAGTGCCGATTTGACAGAGATCTGTTTACGTCGAGTTGGTGAACAATGGCATCATCAGACCAATCTATGAGCAAGTACGCCAACGGTAGTGACCGTAGAGTTCCGAATCACAACCCATTCGACCGTCCCCGAGCGATGGATCGTCGTGTAGCTTACGTCGGCGAAGGTCTCATTGACCCGAACGGACTTGACAGTCTGGACAACCCTCGGAGATATCGACATCGACCACAAGTCTCCTCAACGTCGTCGCGAGGTGCTGGATGACTTGGCAATCGATGTTGGAGAAAAGTACCTTGACGACATTTATAAGGAAGATACAGACGGTGCGGACGAGAACAAAGCGGCAGAACAGGTTCGACATCACTTGGCCGCGTCTTCGATCAATGGCCACGAGGTAGGACACAAAGAACGAGTCCGGACAGAGAAGGAGTTAGCGTGGCTGAAGGTGAGACAGCTCCTGATCGAAGAAGAAGAGAAGGCCTCGACACACGAGCGACGACACGCGAAGAGCATCAGTCGATCCGCGGAACGCTCTGCTGTTCGTAGCGAAGCAAGTGACGGTAAGAGCTGCAATACCGTTAGGCTTTTGGATTCCATGGCGGCGTACACGCCCCAGCCACCCCAACTCCTCTCGCTCAACAGCAACAGGTCACGCCCTGAAGTGGAAGTCCAGCCACCGCAGACATTTGCGAGTAAACTCGCCCAATTTCTAGGCGCAGGATCCGTCTTAGACAGCGAGAGTACCAGCTCGAAATCGTCGCGTTCTTTGCCCGGATACAGCGGCAACTCGCCTACCCGATGGCAGCTCTTGGCGACGCTAGAACAGGTGACCAAAACCTGTCAAAGAATGGAACTGTCTGAGGCAACGATGGCTCGAGTGTCAGAGCATTTAAACTCGATCGATCAGGTCGTGCGGGAGGATTTGAGTACCAACCAGAGCAGGAGTCGTCGACTCTCTAGCACACAGGCATCCAACGGCTCGACCGATTCACTCGACACGTATTCCGTGGTAGATATACCGCCCTCGTACCCTCAAACTGACGTGGCGCCAACCGTTCGCGAGTCTTTCAAAGCCTTCGCTTCCGGTCAAGACCTGCGCGACACGTTGGCCGCATTCAACAATTTGCTGGCCGATTGTTGTCTCGATGGCGTGAAGTTGCAGGAGCCGTGGCACGTGTACTACCACATCCGAGACGCCGTTTACAGCAAGCTCAGTTTCCGCCACAAACAGCTCTTCAAGCTCCTACACGTGCGATTCAGTCTGGACGTATTCAAACGACGTCCTTGCGCTAACAAACGCGTATGTATCGTCGGTGCCGGCCCCGTGGGGCTGCGCGCCGCAATTGAGCTGGCACTACTCGGTGGCAAAGTGACAGTCCTCGAGAAACGGACCAAGTTCAGTCGAGAAAATATGCTCCACCTGTGGCCGTGGGTCGTCCAAGATCTGGCGTCTCTAGGAGCGAAAGTTCTGTTCAAGAACTTCTGCAAATCCCGGACGTATTTCCACGTGAGCACACGACAGCTGCAGGTGGTTCTACTCAAGGTGGCTCTATTAGTGGGCGTCAAAGTCTACTCTGCTACAGGCTTCAAGTCGATAGTTTCGCCAGAGGAGAACGTTGGCAACCCGTTCTACAGTATCAAGACAGAGCCTCAGATCCCAGTCGCAGAGTACACGGCGGTGCTCGGTGCGACCGGGACGAACGACCTGGTCGCGGAGTCTGCAGGTATCACGCGCTTCGTATTCTCTCGGAACGAATCTCTGGGTATCGTGTGCTACTTCCCGAACCTGGAGACGACGGACGAACTGAAGACGAAGGAGTTTTCGTGGACCACTCGACTCAAACATCACATGTTAGACAAGATGCGCGACGTCGGCATTGATCTCGAGAACGTCGTGTACTTTCGAGGAGATATGCACTATCTGGTCATGACGCCAAAGCGTCAGAACCTGCTGACCCATGATGTGGTGAAGCAAAACTATGCAGACGCGAAAGATCTGGTGCGGAAGGAGAACGTCAACCATGATGCGCTCAATGTGTTTGTCAAGAATATCGTCAGGTTTGCGGGTATCACTCGAAAGACGGACTTCACGAGGGTAAATCTCATCGACTTTAGCCAGCTGACACGAGCTGATAAGGCTGCAAATATCTTGGCATCGCATGGTAAAAAGCTCTACGTTGGGCTCGTCGGTGACTCGCTGTTGGAGCCTGTGTGGCACGAGGGTGTTGGTACTTGCCGAGGGTTCCTGAGTGCGCTGGATGGCGCCTGGATGATTGCTCGTATCGGAAGAAAGACAGACGAACAGCTACTCGCAGAACGACATTTTGCTTACCAGGTGATGCAGCGTCTCTCCGGCCACCACCGTGATGAGATGCAGAAGAATGTGAGGAAGTACACAGTGAATCCGAAGACGCGTTATACCTGTAAAGTCGACTTCCGTGGCTGAGCAATACGTGTCAGCCAAATGAGTCGGCCACGTAGTGACAAGGTGTGGGAAGTAAGCTCAGACTTCATGATCGGTAAAAAGAGCACATTTTTAATATTTTAAGTACTGTAATACGTAAGTATTAAAATAATACTAAATGTGCCTGTAAAACTTCGACTACAACTGCACTATTGCTGACATCAAATCATACTGAATGCTACTGTGAGAGATTATATAACCCTCGGATCCCAACAAGTTGAACTAGCTCAGTCTCCTTCCCTTTCGGCCACTCAAACGGGTCTAGAAGTCCCTCTCCAGTTGTTGTGAATTCAGCTTGTCTTGCTCGACCACAAAGAATATCTCCAATTTCTTCACCTCAAAACTTTCCGGCGATTCAGACAGCATCTTCAGCCATTGGTAAAAGAAATCAATGCGAAAAGAATGCTTGTGGGCACTCGTCACTTGGACCAAACGCACGTGCTGAGTACGTTTACACACCATGATAGCATCATATCCACCTTGGTTCCATATTCCGGGCTTAATCCATACGGGGCGAGCACAAGAAAGCTCAGGTATTCCATCCGAGACCACAATAACTGATTGACTCCACGGGTCAAGCTTATTTCCTGCTGAATCGACAAGTTCGAGACCGCCATGTCGAAGACTTGAGAAGAACACCATCTCCAGCATCCATCCATTCAGTGCTGGGTTGGAATGGTCTCGAAGTGTCGAAGTGAACTTATTTTTGATAGCCTCCGGACCGCAAACCATACCAACTGTAGTAGCAGCATACCGACTGATCAACGGTGACACATGACCTTCCCAATTCGGTCGCTTAAACATCGCGAAAAGCCGGTTGATGCAAAGCTGTGAGCGGTGCCCTTCTGAAGAGAGAGTCGCAGCACTTGAGGTGGATTCCACGGCTCGGCAAAGTCTGGTCTTGACGTCGGTGGTCGTATAGTCAAACATGTAGCGACATGATCCACCCGCATAGTGATACTTCAACTCTACCATTTCGGCAGGAGACCTTGGTCCATATACGCCGCCTGGAGCATCCAACATACTCGCCACGCACATAACAAACTCGTTCCTTAACCGCATCAAGGTACTCAGCCAATGTCCACGACCAGACATCAAATTCCATTGCACGCATCCGAATATCCGTTCCCTCTTGAACTTTGCCACGAGAGGCTACCGAGCATACAAATGCCAGCCGTCGTTTGACAAGATCTCTCGTCAACCATCGGTGACACTTGACTGTTAGCTCCCTGAAGAAGTCTGCAGCTGTCCAGCCATCAACAAGCAGTAGATGCTTCTTAGTGTCATCGACCAGCAAAACTTCGTCTACGTCTGCAATCTCAATGGTTCGAGTCTTTCTTTCTTCGCCAGCAAGACGCACGCAGTTCAGATCCATGTCCTTAGCCACGTGAATCCAAGTAACTATCCATTCACTTCTGTCCACAGTCGACGCGAATGCCATTGCAGTCGTTGACTTTCCCGTTCCAGGAGGGCCAAGGATCCAGCCCAAATGACCTTCGCTCGATACCTGATCGCGTAAGAACTCGAATTGGCGGTGGAATGTGGGCCTGCAGTAGAGCATCATGCGAGAGGGTAGGAGTCCGGACTCATCCACATCTTCTTTCTCCAGCACAAAGTACTGTGAGTTTGGGTCGTAAGCGTGTGATCCCCACCGAGTCGACCGCCACTCCAGACGCTGCTTCTTGTTGGCTGCTTCCGGAAGTTTCACCAGAACGTGGATTTCACCGTCTTCACCGGCGTCTTCGTTAGGGAAACCAAACGCCGTATTGCGGACACGATAGCAAGAATCCATCTTGTTCTCCTTCTTCTTCATAATATTAATGATTCCAGTGGGGATCTCACCAGTCTCCAACATCGTCACGTCAGGATCGTCCGTCGTGAGCCAGTTGCCACCCTTCTTCGCGACGTATAGCGTTAGTTGGTCCGCAGGAAGTTCGTACATCTTCTCCTTGTGAAGTGTGGAGGAAGAGCCAGGACTGCGTCCAGCTCAAACCTGAGGCTCAGGTGCCTCCAGGACGCGATGCTCGCGTCCAGAAGCCGGACTTCGACGGACCATTGGCTGGCGAGCCGCCAGCCCCATCCTACTGCTAATCCTACCAATATATGTTACCGGGGTTTTTCCGTGTGCTGCTACACACTCGACAACTTGCGCCGTCAAGAGCAAGCAGCAGCACTCGGTTTTCTCCCCTGCTGGACTTTCAGTCCCTGCAACTTACTGTTGTTACGACTACTTCCTTCATCACAATGGTCACCACTCGGCGTAGCCGAGGAGCGACCATCACTCAGGTTATGAGCCCAAGAAGGAGAGCTGGAAGCCCAGTCCGGAGTACGCAGAGCTCGCGCGCGTCCGACGAGTTGCAGTTGCCTGCAAGAGCAGACGAGACAACGTCAGACGAGACACATGCGACGTCACAAGCGTCATCAACCCGAGTTGAGCAACAACTCGAGCTCTTATTGGCCCAATTTGGTACCGTTATGACTACACTGACCAATCAGCAGCAAGTGCAGAACATTCCAGTGGAAGCATCTACCCGACGCCCACAAAGGCAGCTCATTCAAGAATTCTCAGCGGCTCGAGCACAACCGCAGCGAGTGCCGACGCCGTACGGGCCCCGCCGAGGAAACCCAAGCACAGAGGAACTTACCGCCGACGCCAGCACGCGTCAGAGCGAGCCGCCAAGAAACCCAAGAACGTCCGAGGCTGCAGCGCAGCCAGTCCAGACCGAGGCCGGGACCGACTCCGCTACGGACGAACCCATGGTTGGAGACCACAGATGCACGCGGTGCATGAACCAGAGCGGACACGTGCAGTTGAACGCAAGACTTACCGATACCAACTACCAGACGTGGCGCGTCGAGATTTGCTCCATTCTCGACGTCGCACACCTCTTGGACCCCATCATGGAGCGCGAAACGATGGCAGACCAACGTAACGAAGGACAGCGCGGCTGTTTCAAGCAACGACTGCGTGTTGCTCAACGTGAACTTACGATGGGACTTAGTCAAGAACTACAGATGCGATTTACAAGTGTTATTCAACGTGCTGATCCTATCCTACTGTGGCGAACACTGGAAGATCATTTTGATAACCATCCTGGAGTAAACAGCGTGTTTCTCAAGCGAGATATGCTGAATCGTCGCCTGCAACGTGACGAACGACTTGACGATTACATTCGTGACATCGACGACTACCAACAGAGACTTCGCCGCGCGAACAAGCAGCTGCCTGAGCAGGAAGCCGTCTCTATCCTATTGTCGAATACAGTGGGTGTGTACCCAGCGGTGGTAAACGAGCATGAAGTACGTATTGGACGTGATGAGTCCATTACGTGGGAGCAAGCGATCGAGCGCCTTCGACTCGCTGACCACTCACGCCAAGAGACTGAGCTACAGCAAGGACGTGGTGGAGGTGGACGTGCCGTCCAGCGAGATGTTGCATTTGTTGGTGGCCGTGGCGACGGACACAACGACGGAAGAGGACGTCGAAACTCGAGCAGCAGTCAAGCACGAGGCAACAACAACCGCAACAATCGTCGCAGCCGCAGCTCATCGCCGCGTGGGCGGAACAAGCGGCAGAAGAGCAAGAGCTCATCCAGTGCGAGGGATGACATCGCCAAGCGAAAGGCGAAGACGAAGTGCAACACGTGCGGAGAGCAAGGACATTGGAGTGGCGATCCTGAGTGCCGCCAGCGTGGCAACAGTAACAACAACAACAACTCGAGCAACCCGCCGCGCAGGATGATCGATGTGGTTACTGTGAAGACAGCCAAGTCGGCTGCACCGACTCAAGCTGAAGGACAAGAGCATGTACTCGCGGTGCGTGACAACTTCAACTACAAGGACAAGGACAAGGACCAGGACATGGTGGAGTGGGTGTTGGATAGCGGCGCGCAGACCAACGTCTCGAGCGACCTTACCTTGTTTACGGAGCTACACGAAGACTCAGTTGCAGAGCTAGTCTTCGGCAACGGCACAACTGAGCGCGCAACTGTGGGCACAGTGCTTATGCAAGTGCTGAACGAGCACACGGGCAAGATCGAGGAGCGCCTCCTTGATGACGTGAGCTACGCCAAGTCGGCTGCCTACAACCTGATCTCGCAGACCTACATGCAATTCAAAGGAAACTTCAAGGTGCGCATCTCGCATGATCAGAAGACTACGTGGCTGGTCAAGGACACATTGAAGCTGCGCTTCAAGTACATCCGCGGGATGTACCGCATGTGGACGCCACGTCAGAGCAAGAACGTGATGAGCGTCAAGGCCAGTGAAGCTGAGAACCCCATGACGTTGCTGCACAACCGCATGGGCCACGTAAACATGGAGACTATCAAGACTATGGCAGGAAACTATAACTTTGGCATCAACATGCAGTCGAAGAATTTTGCTCTCTATGAATGCATTCCATGCTTAGAGTCAAAGACGAAGCGCATGAGCTACAAGCGCAAGCCGTCTCGCTCTGCAAAGCCCTTGCACAAGCTTTGTGTCGACCTATGCAGTGTTGGAGTGGATACAATATCGAAATCAAACCAGTTTCTATTGATTATCGACGAAGCTACGAGATACAAGTGGGGATATCTATTAGCCTACAAAGACGAAGCCACGGAGCTGATTCAGAAGCAGATTCGCTGGATCCAGAACCAGTTCCCGAAGGCGACCATCAAGACGCTGTTCTCCGATGGTGGTGGCGAGTTCGTCAACATGCAGCTCGAGACCTTCTGCAAGGACCTCGGCATCGACACGCGTTCATCCAATCCCTACAGCCCGCAGGAGAACGCTATCGTGGAGCGCACGAACCAGACCGTCATGCGGCAGGTCAGATCTATGTTACAAGCTACGCAAATGCCTGTTTCATTATGGGGAGAAGCCTTCCTACATGCAATTGAGACGCTCAACAAGACGCCGACGCCGGTGTTGAAGGACCAGCAGTCCCCGTACGAGGCCCTGTACGGAGAGCGGCCAGACCTCAGCGTGCTGCGCACGTGGGGGTGCTTGGTGCACGCGCACATCCCTGATGATTCTCGGCAGAGAAAGGAGAAGCTCACTCCAAGGACGCAGATGTGCTTACTACTTGGCTACAGCGAGAAGACCAAGGGCTATAAAGCTGCTGAACCTGCGCACCAGGATCAGTGACGACGTGCAGAGATGGAAACATGAAGGCACATGAGAAGTACCCGGTAACCACTGTGTATATTGAGCAACCTCCTTGCAAATACCTACGCTTACGGAGACTACGACTTACCTGCGGAGATCCCGATCGTGCCGATCCGGACGACAATGTCTACGTACCTGCAGCTTCCTGCAGAGCTTGCAGAAAGGCGAGCAGCGGAGATGGCGAAGCTGGCCACTGCTGGTGAGAGCCATGACCAAGGTGTTGAAGTTGAAGCCGAGTCTGCGACTCGAAGTGATGACCCACAGCTACCAAGCGAGGACGCTAAGAAGCCAGCAGCTTCAGTGGGAGGTTCCAAGCGGAAGAACACAAAAGGCAAGAATAAAGCGAAAGCATGTGCAAATCGAGTGGGAGCCTCGAAGGCCAAGGACAGTCGACGTGATGCTCACGAAGACGAGAACTGGGAGCCATGCACGACGCAGAAGTCGTCGCCAGACGACAGTGCAGCTACGTCGCGACCGAAGCGGAAGCGACAACCATCCGCCCGACTCAAGGACAACGTAGTGACGAATGTGACGAAGCAGAACGTCGAGGATGTGCAGATCCCCATTAGTCACAAGCATGCGGCAAGGTCAAAGAAGTGGAAGGAGTGGAAAGCAGCGATGCAAGTTGAGATGGACTCACAGCAGCAGCACGAAACTTGGGTGCTCGTGCGACGCACGGAGGCCAAGGGCAAGCGTGTCATTTCGTGCAAGTGGGTGTACGCGCTCAAGAGAGACTCTACGGGCCGGATTAAGCGATATAAAGCTCGACTAGTGATCAGAGGCTTTCTACAACGCATGGGCATCGACTACAGTGAAACATGA